TACCTCACGGAGAAAAGTCATCCTCGGCGTGCACCCCACGCACAGCACGCCGTCACCCGCACCAGGCGTGTAGAAGGGCACGTCACCTACTGCTGCACCCATCGTCCCCGTCGCCGACGTTGGCCAGGCGCACTTGGCTGATCGCGATGGAGCACCGGTTGAAGGCCAGAAAGTGCAGCGCCTTCGTCAGGAAGTTGGCCGGCTGCTCGGTGGTCGGGATATACTTCAGCACGAATTTCCCGCGCCTCACCATGTGTTGCAGCCAGGCATAGCTGTCAAACATATGTTTAAATGTTATAGTTTAGGTAGGATTTAGTGGGGTACTCACTGTGGGGTACAACCCCTTAGGTTTCTCTCAGGTAGACCCCCCCGCGCCTGCGCCTGTTGAGGTTACTGGTGACTCCGGTCCTGCTGGGAGTGGTGCTGTCCCTGGGGGTGCGGAGCTTGGGGGTGCTGAGTCTGGGGGCGCTGAGCGTGTGGAGCCTGGAGGTGCTGAGCCTGTACGTGAGGAGCCTGGAGGTGCTGCGTCTGGGGGTGCTGCGTCTGGAGGTGCTGCGTCTGGGGGTGCTGAGCCTACGTGTGCGGAGCCTGGGGATGCTGATTCTGGGGGTGAGTCGCCTGAGGGTTCTGAGACTGCTTTTACGCTTTCTCCTTGGAGTAGCCGTGTTTGTCCGTGTGTGCCCCTCACCTCCCAGCAGCTGCACGACTGGTACGGTCGTCGTCAGCGTCGCGCTTCTGCACCTCAGGACTCTACTGTTGGGGGTTCTTCTGCTGGTGTCGCTAGTCCCAGAGGTGCTCGTACTGAGGGTATGGGAGCTGCTGGGGCTGGCGGTGTTGTGACTCAGGGTACTGGAGCTGTAGAGGGTGCTGGAGCTGCTGGAGGTACTGGAGCTGCTGGAGGTGCTGGCGGTGCTGGAGCTGCTGAGGGTACTGGGGCTGCTGGAGGTGCTGGAGCTGCTGAGGGTCCTGGAGCTACTAGCGCTGCTGGAGCTGCTGAGGGTACTGGAGCTGCTGGAGGTGCTGGAGCTGCTGGAGGTGCTGGAGCTGCTGGAGGTGCTGGAGCTGCTGGTGCTAGTGGCACTGCTCAGCCGCGCCTGTTCTTCGCTCCGCCGTCTCCGTCGTCTCAGCCACCACCTGACTCTGCACTTCGCCAGGTTCTCAGTCTTCCCTCATCTGAGTCTGTCTGTCCTCAGTACGTCGGGGGTGCGTGTGCTCTTGGCACGGACGTCCTTGAGGACAGGCAGGAGGACCTTGAGTGTCTTGCAGCCGCTGCGCCTCATCTCGTGGCCATGCTGCTTGCCCCTGAGGGAGACCCGGATGAACCAGACATCCCTACCCCGCGCTCTTACGCTGCGGCAATCGCGGGTGAGTACTCCTCTCAGTGGCAGACAGCCATGGACGCAGAGATGGCATCCTGGAAGTCCACAGGCACCTACGTCGACGAGGTTCCCCCTCCTGGGGTGAACATTGTCAGTGGCATGTGGATTTTCAGGGTGAAGCGGCCGCCACGTTCTCCGCCTGTCTTCAAGGCTCGTTACGTGGCTCGAGGCTTCAGACAGCGAGAGGGAGTTGACTTCTTCCAGACCTTCTCCCCCACCCTGAAGATGACCACTCTTCAGGTGCTGCTACACGTGCCGCTCAGCGTGACTACGAGCTTGACTCTCTTTACTTCAGCACAGCCTTCTTACAGGGCAGCCTGCACGAGGAGATATGGCTGCGCCGCCCTCCTGGCTTCACTGGGTCGTTCCCTCCTGGTACTCAGTGGAGCCTCCGACGGCCGGTCTACGGTCTCCGCCAGGCGTCACGTGAGTGGCACGACACACTGAGGACGACACTTGCGGCTCTTGAGTTTGCTCCGTCGACTGCTGACCCATCGCTGTTTCTGCGCACCGACACTTCGCTGCCGCCGTTCTACATCCTCGTGTACGTCGACGACTTGGTCTTTGCCACTGCTGACACTGAGGCTCTCGCCCTGGTGAAGTCGGAGCTGCAGAAGAGACATACGTGCACAGACCTGGGTGAGCTGCGCAGCTATCTTGGCTTGCAGATCACCCGGGACAGAGCACGCCGCACCATCACACTGACTCAGTCACACATGGTGCAGCAGGTCCTTCAGCGCTTCGGCTTCACCTGGTCCTCAGCACAGGCCACTCCTCTGGCTACAGGTCACTCGCTCTCAGCTCCACCTTCGGACGAGTCCGTAGAGCCGAGTGGTCCTTACCCAGAGCTAGTGGGCTGCCTCATGTACCTGATGACCTGCACTCGTCCTGACCTTGCGTACCCTCTTGGCCTTCTGGCTCGCTACGTGGCTCCTGGTCGGCACCGAAAGGTGCACATGGATGCTGCTAAGAGGGTACTACGCTACTCGTGCAGTACATCGGGCATGGGGCTCGTGCTTGGAGGACGGGGTGACGTTGTCCTCAATGGTCACTCGGACGCCTCTTGGGTTGACGACCAGGCTACGCAGCGGTCGTCACAGGGTTACACCTTCTGCCTTGGTTCTGGTTCAGTTTCCTGGCGTTCTACACGTTCGTCTTCAGTTCTCGGCTCCAGCTGTGAGGCCGAGATCTACGCCACAGCCATGGCTGCACAGGAGCTACGCTGGCTCACCTACCTGCATACCGACTTGGGAGAGCGGCCTCGTTCTCCTCCAGTTCTGTACGTCGACAACAAGGCTGCCATTGCCTTGTGTCAGGAGCACAGACTGGAGCACAGAACGAAGCACATCGCTCTACGTTACTTCCTTGCTTGAGAGCTGCAGCAGCGTGGCCAGCTTCGTCTTGCTTACGTGGCCACTCGGGCCAACACTGCTGATATATTCACCAAGGCGCTTCCGCCTGGTGATCATCAGCGTTTCTGCACTTTGTTAGGCCTTGTTCACACGCTTCCTCACTTGCTGTAGGCTTTGTTTGTACTGTGATCTATATGTATACCTGCATGCTTGCTCTTGTAGGTAGATAACACTGTGCTGTTATTGTTACACATATATCTCTGCATGTGAACTGGCCTTGTGGCCTTTTTGCTTGTGCTCAGACTGCGTGGTGACGTTGTGATCCACCCTGAGCTTGTTTTGCACTTGCTGTCTGGCCTTGTGACCCTCTGTTCTCCCCCACTTTGCCTATGGGGGTGTGTCAAACATATGTTTAAATGTTATAGTTTAGGTAGGCTTTAGTGGGGTACTCACTGTGGGGTACAACCCCTTAGGTTTTCCTTTTGTACCAACACTCTCGATAGTTCAACACCACCTTGCCTAAGATTCTAAGAATTGCGTGGCTCCATGTGCTTGAGGTTGCCCGTCAGCTCCAAGCCCTCAGCGACCGTGATGGCTGACTTGTTGTCCACCCGAAGGACAGTCGGCTTCCCAGCGTCGAGCTACTGGAATTCCGCAAGGAGGAAGCGGAGTCGGCGTCCCTCCTTGCCAGCATCCGTAGCCGCCACGTACTCGACTCGGTCAATGACAATGTCGCGCACTTGATGCGCGAGCTCGACTAGGACACGGCGGCCCCTCTGTAGATGAACACGTAGGGGGCTTCAAGCCCCGTCCCTTCTCTGTGCGCTGTCCCTTCGCTGTGTGCTGTCCCTTCTCTCTGTCCCATCCTCATTGAAACCGTTCTCATCCACAGGCATTCCTTTCCTTCTCCTGGGGGCCATGAAAGTTCCTTGCCACCAATGCAACGACTCATGCTCACATGATTGTTTTGTGATGTGAGCCCTTGCTGCTTCTCATTCTTTCGCCATTCCAACCCAACGCATGGAGGGTCAGGTGAAGCCTATTTCCATCCTCAGGCGTTCCTTCCCGTCTGCGGCAACACGCCTTCCTCCACCGGTGCAAAGATGATGACGCTGCAGGGTGTTTTTGAGAATTCTCAAAAACACCCTGCGGCAACATGCCTTCCTCCACCGGAGCAAAGGTGGTGGCGGCTCCCATCCTTGGGCATCTCTCATGCTGCCTCTCACCTGCTTGGAACCACTTTCCCATCACTGCTGTTGGCACTCTGCAGACTAGATTAGGTACATGTACCTAGTGGGAAATTCCACAATCATTTCACACGACTGCAATAATGTGCAACCATTTTTATTTCATTCATATCAATTTGTTGGGAATTGCTTGGAGGCCTTGCAATGGAAAAGTGCATTTGCGACTGCTTTCTTGCAAGGTATTTTTAATTAAATATGACCCAGAATATCAATTGTGTGGTACCGGTATTTTGTTTTCCTAATGAAGATCATGGGTATTTCGTTGAGTACACAGCGGCATGAAAATATGTGCATACAGAAATTTATCTGAGAAGTTGGGGAGGTAAATACCAGCAAAATATATGTCTCTACACCACGCCAGGTCAGGGATGTCACCATACCAAACCGACCCGTCCGCGTTGCAGGATGTATCTAAGGATTTCACACGACACTTGTGCTATGGATTCCCTAGCCGGATGCAGAGGCTCCGTTTCAAAATGGAACATGACTGCATTTCGAATAATATATCACCCTGCTAGGAGCAGACCATTTTCACTGCACATAATTGCAATGTAACAAGGCTGCAGGAAAACGAAATTGATCGAGCTACTATCGAGAGTACCAGAGATCCTCCATCCACTCTCTCCAATTGGGCCACGCGTCGTGCAATTCTCGAGAAGGATGAAACCAGCTCGCGCAACTTCAACGACGTGTTCCGGACACAACGATATTTTGTAACTTGAGTTGAACGAAGTATTTTTCTGACTGGGTGCCTTCGTTAGATTTCGCGAGCCTTATCCCCTGATTTCTCGAACTTATCCTCCATTAGGACGCACCAACAGCTAAAGCGCTTTACGCTTTAGGAGCAAGCCAGTCCGCCATTTTCGAGGTCTTCGCCCTTTGGCAAACCTCCTCTGGGACTTTCGTACGGATTTTCCAGCATATTGCGAGCTTGCGTCCATTCGTACGAATTTCGCGTGGTTAATAACTGCCTCGCGTTCTCAATTTCAAGGGAGACTGAGCTTGACGAGTAGGTTAAGCCAATGGCGTCCCTCCTCGCATCGCCAGCCACACTGGCTGGGCCTCGAACCGCAGGTTCGTCTTTTCTCCATAACCTTCCTGTGTCGTCCATATCCGTAGTCTGACTATAACTCGTTAACCAGCAATCAAATCCTGGATTGATGAGCACTCATTTACGCACTCGTCATCATCGCTATGTCGTCCTCTGTTTATGTAACCAGTTCTGTTAAGAAATGGTTCCTATTTCGCCATAGGCGGCTGACTCCTATTCCTATTCTCTCAGCTCATGAGCGTATCGCTTCCCTATCACACTCCCGATTCGACATCCCCGAATTCCCCCCCCTCCCCCTCCCCCTCCCCCTCCCCCTCTCCCCGTTCTTCCCTCGTAGCTTTCGCACCTCCCCAGCAGGCTAACAGTTCGATCCAATCCTCCCTCTCCGCCCCTCCCCTCCTCCCGCCCTCCCCCTCCCCCCACTTCTCCCTTCCCCTCCCCGTCTCCTAACAGCATTCGCCAAAGATCATCTCCCGCATCGCCCAGCAGGCTAGCAGCCCGATCCCCTTCCCTTCGTCTCCTCCCACTCATCTGCGCTCCTCGCTATTCCCGTCATCCCCACCCAACCCCCCCTCAAAAACCCCCTCCCACTCCCTCCCCGAGCAGCTTTCGCCAAGGAGCAACTTCCCCATCTCCCCAGCAGGCTAGCCACCCGATCCAATCAATCCCCCCTCTTCCTCCCCCAACCAACCCCCCTTTCCCCTCCCCCTCGTCCCTCCTCGCAGCGTTCGCCAAGGATCATCTTCCGCATTTCCCCAGCAGGCTAGCAGCCCGATCCAAACCTCCCCTCCCCCCCCCCCTCTTCCCCACCTCCCCGTCCCCACTCCCCCCCCCTTCCCCTCCCCGTCCCTGTAAACAGCATTCGCCAAGGAGCATCTCCCGCATCTACCCAGCAGGCTAGCAGCCCGATCCAATCCTTTCCCCCTGCCCCCCCCCCAATCCCCCTCTCCCCTTCCCTACTTCTTCCCACTCAGCATTCGCCAAGGGCCATCTCCCGCATCTCCCCAGCAGGCTAGCAGCCCGATCCCCGTCCCTTCGCCTCCGCCCATTTCCGAGACCAGTAGCGGCTCAGGTCAGAACGCGTGCTCCTCCTTACCACACGCACACACACACACACCCGCACACGCACACCACGCCATGCCATCAGTGGTTTTCTAGACGATCACCCCCTTCCCCTCGCCTCCTCTCATTTCCGAGACCAGTAGCGGCTCAGGTCAGAACGCGTGCTGCTCCTTCCGCACGAACACAAACACACACACACACACACACACACACACACACACACACACCCGCACACACATACACACCCGCACACGCACACACACACACACACACACCCGCACACGCACACCACGCCATGCCATCAGTGGGTTTCTAGATGATCATCCCCTTGTCCTCGCCTCCTCTCATTTCCGAGACCAGTAGTGGCTCAGGTCAGACCGCGTGCCCCCCCTTACCGCACACTCACCACCACACGCCTTTGCGATCAATGGATTTCTTTAAGAATTCTCAAACTACCCTGCAGGCTCCTTCCTTTTTTTTTGTTTTTTTTTTTTCAATGCCTTAATTCACTTCATTCTTCACCTACCCCCGCCTTTACCCCCTCTCGTCCCTGCCTTTCCCGCCCTCCTCCTCCATGTTGAAATCATGCAGGGAGGCAAGGCAGGAGAGGGCGGGCCACTGGGTCATCCACGTCACCTTTGAGTCGACTCAAGAGCCCACCCATTCTTCACCTGCCCCCGCCTTAAATACAACCCCTCCCCATCCCCTCCCTCCATGTTGAAATCATGTAGGGTGGCAAGGCAGGAGAGGGCGGCCCACTGAGTTCGTCCACGTCGCCTCTGCCAGGAAGCAGCAGCAGCAGCAGTAGCAGTAACAGGCGTTTGTCAACAGTAGCCCAGGCAACGCAGCAGCAGAAATCGTCTGGCTCTGCGGCAGCAGGTGGGTGCATGATTCAGACGAGGTCTTTATTCGTGTGTGTATCGAGAATTAGGCGCCTAAAAAATCGTTTGTCAACAGTAGCCCAGGCAACGCAGCAGCAGAAATCATCTGGCTCCGCTGCAGCTGGTGGATGCACGATTTTTGAGGCGCCTCGAAAATTGCAGCTGGTGGGTGCATGATCAGCCATGTAGACTAGGCGGGTGAATGTAGTGGCTGGGACGAGCCTGACGTTTAAGGGCATTGTCTGTAGCTCGTTTGTTGACAGTAGCCCGTGCGACACACACAGCAGCAGGAATCGTGTGCCTCTGCTGATGATGCTGGTGGGCGCATGGGTATGTATGCCTGTGCGTGTGTAGAGGGCGAGAGAGGGGGTTGCTGTTGCAGCTGCCAGCTGGTGGGTGGGTGTATGTTTCGGACGGGGCTGTAGGCGTGCGTGTGTGTATGTACGTTAAGGGCCATTGTCTGTTTAGACATAAGTCGACAGCAGCCCTTTTGAGTCAACTCAAAAGTCAACTCGGCATGCGTGTGTGTATGTACGTTAAGGGTCATTGTCTGTCTGTCTAGGCATTAGTCGACAGTAGCTCAACCAGCCCAGCACCAGAAATCGTCTGGCTCTGCTGCAGCTGGTGGGTGGGTGTATGATTCAGACGAGGCTGTAGGCGTGCGTGTGTGTATGTACGTTAAGGGTCATTGTCTGTCTGTCTAGGCATTAGTCGACAGTAGCCCAGGCAGCCCAGCGGCAGAAATCGTCTGGCTCTGCTGCAGCAGGTGGGTGAATAAGTCAGAGGGTTTTGGCGTGTGTGTTGAGGGTTCAGGGCTGAAAAGAAAGGGTTTGAGGGGGAGGGGGGGGTAGGGGGGGGAGGGGGGGAAAGAGGGTGTCTGCTGCAGTGGATGTATGATTCAGACGAGGCTGTAGGCATGTGAGTGGAGAGGGCTGGAAAGGGTTAGGGTGGTGGTGAGAGGAAATCGGGAGAAGGTTGCTGCAGCTATGGGTGGGTGGTTGGTGTTGACAAGGCTGTTAAGGGCACATGTATGTGAAGGGTGTATGACCCACCCGGCTCTCCTGCCTCTTTCTCCTTCCTCTGTCTCCCCTCCCCACCTTATCCCCTCCCCTTTTCCAGTCGAAGACAGCAAGATCGACTTTGGCGACTTTTTCAAGGGCGATTTACCCAAGAAATTCCTCATGCTCCTGGGTCTGCTCGCCCTATCCCGCGTGGGAATCTACATTCCCCTGTGGGGGGTCGATATCTCGGCCTTCCAGGAGCAACTGGGGGAGGGCTCATTCCTGGCCACCCTAGATACCCTCTCAGGGGGCGGAATCGGACGGCTGGGATTGTTTTCGCTGGGCATCGTGCCGTATATCAACGCTCAGATCGTGTTTCAGCTGCTGGGGACGCTGTATCCGAAGATTGCAGATCTGCAGAAGAAGGAGGGAGAGGCGGGGAGGAAGAAGGCACAGCAGTATATGAAGTATATGGCTGTGGCGTTTGGTGCTCTGCAGGTATTTTGATTCGCTAGAAGCACACTCTAATTCTGTAAGGTAGGTGGCCAGCAGAAGAAGGAGGGAGAGGCAGGGAGGAAGAATGCGCAGCAGTATATGAAATACATGGCTGTGGCGTTTGGTGCCCTGCAGGTGGGTTGATTCGTTACAGTCTGCTTGACTTGACTCGATATAAGAGCTCTCATCTCAAGGGCTGGTAGGTAGGTAGGCAGGTAGGTGATTAGGAGGGGGAGGGGGAGGGCGAGGCAGGGAGGAAGAAGGCGCAGCAGCAGTATATGAAGTATATGGCTGTGGCGTTCGGTGCCCTGCAGGTATGCTGATTGACTCGCTGTAAGAACACTCAAGGTATGCTGATGCGATATAAGAACACTCAATCCCCTAAATCTCCATCCATTACAACCCAACCACGCCCCTTCCCACCCTATCCCTCCCCCCTCCACCCCCAGGCTATCGGCCAGGTGGCCCACCTCCAGCAGTACGCCTACGACCCCTCGGTCGCCTGGGCCGTCTCACTGCTTGCCTTGCCTTCTCACTGTGTCTCCCTGTCCTTTTCTCCCTCCCCATCCTACCCTCCCTGTTCTCCACCCCCAACACCAGCTATCGGGCAGGTGGCCTACCTGCAGCAATACACCTAAGACCCCTCGGTCGCGCCCTGATCACCGTCTCACTGTGTCACCTCCACCCTGTTCTACCCGCTTACCCACCAGGCTATCGGGCAGGTGGCCTACCTGCAGCAGTACGCCTACGACCCGTCGGTCGCCTGGGCCGTCTCAGCCGTCTCGGGTCTCACCTTCTCTTTCCCTCCCTGTCTGAATCTCCCCATTCACTCCCCAGGTTATTGACCCTCTGACCCATTGACCCACCCTCCTCTCTCTCTCCGTCTCTCCCTCTCCTCCTGCCTCGTTCTCCCGTCTTTCCCTGTCTGAATTCCTCCCCAGGCCATAGGCCAAGTGGCCTACCTGCAGCAGTACGCCTACGACCCCTCAGTCACCTGGGCCGTCTCAGCAGTCTCCGGTCTCACCCTCGGCTCCGTCGCTGTCATCCTTCTTGGCGACAAGATCACCCACCTCAAGCTCGGCAACGGGACATCGCTGCTCATCTTCACCAACATTGTGTCGTACCTGCCTTTTCATGCCCTGTTCTCCCCTGTCTTCTTCTCCCTCTTCCTCCAGGCCATAGGCCAAGTGGCCTACCTCCAGCAGTACGCCTATGACCCCTCGGTCGCCTGGGCAGTCTCCGCTGTCTCGGGTCTCACCCTCGGATCCGTGGCAGTCATTCTTCTGGGAGACAAGATCACAGACCTCAAGCTCGGCAACGGGACCTCTCTGCTCATCTTCACGAATATTGTGTCTTACCTGCCGGCGTCCATTGGACGGACGATTACAGAGGCGTCTGAGCAGGGGAACGTTACCGGAGAGGCGCTGTTGCTCGCGTCGTTCCTGCTGCTCGTCTTCGGGATCGTCTACGTGCAGGTGGGTACGGGTGGGTGCAGGTGGGTGGGTGTGGGTGGGTGTGCTGTTGTCTTCCTGCCTGCCTGCATCGTTCTTCTCCCTGACAGAGCAGGGGAACGTGAACGGAGAGGCGCTGCTGCTGACGTCACTCCTGCGGCTTGTCTTTGGGATCGTATACGTGCAGGTGGGTGCGGGTGGGTCCCGGTGGGTGCGGGTGGGTGTGCCGCGATCTTCCTGACTCTCTGCCTGCCGTCTCCCCGCCTGCCTTCCAGCCTGCCCGCCACCCACCTGCCTGCCCGCCCGCCCGTCTGCCTGTGCGCCTGCCTTCTGAGCAGGAGGCAGAGGGGCACATTCCCATCCTGGTACAACTAATTCCACTTCCTGCGCCCTCCCCTTTCCTCCCACCCTCTCCCCCCTTCTCCACAACTACCCCCTCCCCACACAAGCAGACAGCAGAGAGGTGCATCCCCATCAACTATGCATCAACTCTCGGTACAACCAAACCCAAACACTCTCCGCCCCTCCTCTCCACCCCGTTCACCCCCAATTCCCCCCCCCACCCACACCCACCCCCTCCCACCCACCGAGCAGACAGCAAAGAGGCGCATCCTTATCAACTATGCATCTTGGTACAGCCAACCCTAACCGCTGTGCTGTGCCCTCCCCTTCCCTTCCCCCACTTCCTCCCGCTCCACAACTACCCCCTTCCCTCTGAGCAGGAGGCAGAGAGGCGCATTCTTATCAACTATGCATCTCGGAACAGCCAACCCTAACATACCCCCACCCTTCCTCCCGTTCCCTCCCCCTCTTCTCCCCTACTTGCCACAACCACTCGCCTTCAACCGAGCAGGAGGCAGAGCAGCGCATCCCCATCAACTATGCGTCTCAGTACAACCAACCCCACCCACCCACCCAACCCCTTTCCCTCCGTTTCCCTCTCACTTCCCGCACCACCACCACCAAAACCACTTCCCTTTCCCTCCGAGCAGGAGTCAGAGCGTCGCATCCCCATCAACTACGCCTCTCGGTACAACCAAACCCACCCACCCACACAGAGCGTCGCATCCCCATCAACCAAACACTCTTTGCCCCTCCCCTCCACCCCGTTTACCCCCAATTCCCCCCCCCACCACACCCACCCCCTCCCACCGAGCAGGAGGCAGAGAGGCGCATCCCCATCAATTATGCGTCTCGGTACAACATCAAGACGCGGAACGCTTACCTGCCATTCAAGGTAGCGCCCCCCCCCTTGAAGCTAACACCTCCCCCTTTGAAGGCAACACCACCTTCTTTTTCTTGCATCAACCCCTCACTCACTCACTCACTCGCTCTCTCACTCACCCCCCCCCCCCCCCCCCCTCTCGCTCTCAACCCAACAGAAGCCATTCCCATCGTTGTCTCCTCTCTCCTCATCTGCCTGCTTTCCCATTCTCACTCATCCAACTTTTGAGTCGACCCCTCTCGTTCTATCCCATCCACCCCTCTCCCATCCACCCCTTTCCTCTTGCCCAACCCTTTTCTCTTATCCAACCCTTTTCTCTTATTCCAACCCTTTTCTCTTATTCCAACCCTTTTCTCTTATTCCAACCCTTTTCTCTTATCCGACCCCCAATTCCCCCCTGCAGGTCAACTCAACAGGAGTCATGCCAATCATCTTCTCCTCCTCTCTCCTTGCAGCTCCCTACTCCATTGCTCGCTTCACCGGCAGCGCTGCCTTCCAGTCCGCTGCTACGGCTCTCTATCCTGGAGGTAGGTTAGGTTACTAGTGCCAACAACAGTTTTGAGCTGCATGGTAACCACAAGAGTCTGTAACATGGTAACCACAATGCTGCTCCCTACTCCATTGCTCGCTTCATCGGCAGTGCTGCCTTCCAGTCCGCTGCTGCTGCTCTCTACCCCGGAGGTAGGTTAGGCCAGATGGTAAGAACGATGCTAGTTCCAGTGCCAGCACAGGATCTAGTAACACGGTAACCAGACCTCGCCAGACCAGGCTGCTCCCTTCTCCATTGCCTCCCAGCTCCTCCAACCCACCTTCTCTTTCTTTCTAAACCCTGTCCCTCATCAACCCCCTCCAGGTTTCGTCGATCTCCCCGTCAACGTGGCACTCATTGTATTCTTCAACTACTTCTAAACCTTCCAGCAACTCGACCACTCTCTTGTTCCCCCACCCTCTCTTCCCCCCCCCCCCCCCCCCCCCCAATGCGTTCTACCCATATCCAGGATTCTTCTATCTCCCCGCCAACATGGCACTCATTGCCTTCTTCAACTACTTCTAAACATTCCTCCTGCAACTCACATTTTGTTTCTCCTTGTTGTTCGTATCTTATCGCTCTTATCTCCCTTCCCTCCAGGCCTCCTCTACCTACCTGCCAACGTGGCACTCATCGCATTCTTCAACTACTTCTACACCTTCCTGCAACTCGACCCTGCTGACGTCAGCGACCAGCTCAAGAGGCAGGGCGCCTCCGTGCCCAACACCCGCCCTGGCAAGGCAACAGCGGCGCTCATTACCAAGGTATGTGCTGCTCACACTGCCATACGTTCTTTGTCAGCTCTTGCTCTCGTTCATTTGTCATAGGAGGACCAGCTCAAGAGGTAGGGTGTCTAACTCTTGGCAATACAAATATCCCCCGTGATGTCATCTCCTCACTCTCTCTCCTCCCATTTCCCTCTCTCTGTCCCTCTTTCATTTCATCCCCTCTCTCATCCCCCTTTCCTTCTTTCCCTTTCTCTTGCTGCTTGACCTACTAAACCACAGGTCCTCACTCGCATTTCGGTGCTCGGGTCGGCGTTTCTTGGCACGATGGCAGCAGCGCCGGCTCTTGTGGAAGGAATCACCCACCTCACGGCCTTCCGGGGGTTTGCTGGAACGTCCATCCTCATTTTAGTCGGCTGCGCTACGGATACAGCCAGGAAGGTGCAGGCGGAACTGGTTTCGCAGAAGTATAGGACGATTGAGCTGGATGATATCAGTGCGGGCGGCGGTGGGATTCCGCCACCCAGGTAAAGGATGTGGTTGGGGTTTTAGAGCGGCATGGGTGGTTTCGCAGAAGTGTAGGACGATTGAGCTGGATGATATCAGTGAGGGTGGTGGAGGGAATCCGCCTCCTAGGTGAAAGTTGTAGTTGGATGTTCAGGGCCAATCGGGTGTGCGCAAGGTGTTGAATAAGATCGTTTGTGGCTTTTGTTGATGTGAAACATAGGATGATACTTAGCAACTGCGTTGTAGAGAATGCTAAGAGCTTCGCACCAGGACTAGGGGTATTGCATAGAAGTCAAGATAAAAGAGTGTTGTTGAAATTCTACACGTGGTTGCATTGTTTTTGGAGCGTGTTTCTGTTGAGTAGCAGTCATCACTCCAAATCGAAGCCATCGCATCTCATCAACTCCGTATTTCGTATCGATGGTGTCATTTACAGGCTCCCCTCTGAGAACGACACGAGATTTGTGATTCTGACATGTCCCCACCCTAGTACACATCCATGTTCTCCCACGGACGAGGGCAATGATCTCGAATGGACGAAGCCGGAATACGCCCTTGCAACTTTCGCCTCTGCCACCTAATCAACATTGCTCCCATAAAGCTTTATGCAAAACCCTGTGAAATTCTCGTTTGGAGCTCTTCTCCTTGGCAGATGCAGACGAGATTTTCACCGTTCCTCAGCAACGACTAACAGTTCAGCAACTCTGGTTACCTGGCCTTGCTCCGCAATGATCCACGACAGATTCCGTGTGTCGGGAATAGAATGCTTGGAGCGGTGATGCGCACCAATGTCTCGCCGTTTACCAATGTCGTGCGGCGTCGAAACTTCGGCGTTCGAACAGCTTCGAGGGAGTGGCGGGTGGACAAGATCTTTTCATCAATGTCGGTCTCTTGAGCTGCGAAAATAAAATGTTGACTGTTTCGAGTCACTCGCTTCACACGCGAAGCTATCGCGTGTTGCCTGAAACTATTTGACGGAGGCTTATGTGAGGATGACGACTGGCCGTCAGCCGTATTTGAAGAGCATGGTCTGATCTGCTTCATGGGACTTCCAACTTCGGCGTGTTTCTCGGCATCCTCAAGCCTGATCGTTGACGTGGTGTTCCATCATCTGGCTGCGTGCAAAAGTCAAGTCTGGTACGTTATGTTTTCTGCCGAAATTTCCCCGTTTTCTCTTTATAAGCACATCTTGTCACTGTCGAGGCTAGGAGCTTACTTCTCCTCTCTCGACTTCTCCTTATGTGCAATATCGAATCACAAGACGCCATCTGGGACACTGCGAGATCCGTCGGGGCTTCCGCCATCCTACGGTTCCTGTTTCAGAGGCGATATGCTTATCGAGTGTTTTGGTTAGATTAACCACCATTCTTAACTTGCCATACTTCTCATGGCCGCCTGACTTACTGTGTTCCGAAGTCTCTATCTCCCTCCTTTTTCAGTGTTTCAAGTGGATAAGCGGATCTTCAATGTGGTCCCTTCTCACTGCTCCTTCGAAGAATGGCAGCACCTTATGGAAGGCCATTTTTTCTTCTCGACCCTAAAAATGAGCAGCAGGACCCGCAACATTCAACCCAACAACAATTCTCAATAGGTGGTGGTTTGGATATTAACGTCAGATGAAACTGGTTGCAGCCCTTAGACTGGTACGTCAAATGTCCTTACGGTATGTGATGAAGTTTGTATATTGCATCTGTACCGTATCAATGAACTCAAACTACACAATACATTTTTATGAGATGTTCTCTGTACTGTGATACACAGCTATTAGCGGGGGTCCTACAACAACCTTTTAGCGAAAGTAGTACGGTGTAACAGGTGCCCATGTTCTTTAGAGTGGATTGTGGTCTCCAGGTAGTTGCATACAGTTAGTACTATCACTGGCCATGTCGGAGAGCTTTAACAATGTCAATGTGTTACAATTTCTTGCCTGATTCTGACATTAAAGCAATCAGTCGATGCGTGGCTTTAATCTCTTTACAATGGTGCTCTTTTAGCGTTCATCACGGGAACCTAAACACCAGCTTTTTGAGTTCCAGGCTATCGGCACTGCTTCAAACTACATCAAGGCGAGCTATTACACATGACTATTACCGTAATACCCCGGATAGTAGCGCATATGCGCTTATAATAAATTAATTTATTTTAGGGGGGGCGCTTGTAATTGAGTAACGGCCATAAGTGCCGGCGCTTTTATAAAGGCAAAAATGAATTTCTCTGTAAAGGATATCATTCTGAAGCCGTGAATAAGGCGAATACAACACTGTACCATGCACGCGGGGTCGTGCATGGAATGACGGCGAAACTTGCCACGGTTCGATTTCCCACCGCACAAAACCCGTCCCGGTGCAACGCACCTGCCAGCACTAATGCAAAACCTGCCGTGCGACCCAATCAGGTTGGCATGCGCTGCCAGGCAGGAGCATCTCAGCAGAACCATCCAGAACGTGATGGAATCTGCCGTGCCAGCGCAGCATGGATGGTGCCCCCAACCCTCCTCTGCGGGTTGAGGCAGGCGTGTACTCGTCTCTCATCGACGAGGACCCCGAGCCGCGAACCAGAAGGGGTCCCCTTCAATCTCTCATTTCAACACCCATTCTCATAGTTTTTCATTCATTCTTCTTTTTCTCGCCCGCCTGGCTGCGGAAGCCATGGCGGAATTCACAGGCACTCATTTTCTCTTCAAGAAAAAAACCTTCTAGTAGCCCCGCGTACCGTGTTACAGCTGACGGGTGGTATAGCCGCATACCTCCAGACCCTCCAGAGCCACCACGGCCTCCTGCGCCGCCTGCTCCTCCGGTTCCTCCAGTGCCTCCGACTCCCCCTGCTCCTCCTGTTCCTCCTGTTCCTCCGTGTCCGGTGGCCCCTCACATCGACAACCACCCCGTGCTCACGCTCCTGCTCCCATCGGCGTTCGACGAGTATCTGTCGGAACCGGATTATGACAAGGGCCCCGATGTTGACGTACCCGCTCCAGCGCCAGCACCACGTTGGGGCCAGCAAGAAGATTTCACGTGGGATGAATCTGCAGTCGGCGCTGACGACGACGTGCAAGACGACGAGGAAGGTTGGCGCGCTGAGGGCGACGCCGGCGCCGAGGGTGGCACTGAGGCCGACACCGAGGCCGCTACTGAGGCCGGCACTGCTGAGGATGTGTTTCCTGAGGGTGCGCCGGGCGGTGACGACGACGACGGCGTCGAATACTGGTCACGCGATGGCCTCCCCGAGAAACTCCCGATACCAACTTATCCTCCACGTAATCGAAAGCGACCTCACCCTTCTTCACAGAACCGTGATTCTCGCCCCCCCTCTCCCAGGCACAAGCCCAACGACCATAAGCATCAGGCCTATACTGCCGCCGAGAAGTTGAAGTGGGTTGCGCAGCTGGATGTGGCGGTGTCGGTGCGCGCTCTGGCTCGCGAGAGTGGCATCCACCGCAAGTGCCTCGCCAACTGGAAGCGTGCCGCTGATTTTCTCAAGGAAGCCCACTCTGCCAGGTGCTGCATGCACGGTCGCGGCAGGGCGTCGTGGTACCGCCCGATGGAGATTAAGGTGTATGAGCGACTGCTCGACTGGCGACGCAAGGGAACCGCGGTGTCCGTCGGCCGCCTGCAGGAGTGGTCATGGGAGTTCATGAAGATTCTCTACCCCCTCGTGAAGTGGAAAGGGAGCCAACGGTGGTCGGACCGGTTCCGCCGGCGGTGGAATCTCAGCGTGCGAATGAAGACGAAGGTCGCCCAGAAAACCGCCGCCCGTAAGAATCATTTTTTTTCTCTATGCCATGTGTATGCACTTGTTACTCACTAACCGTAACTGTGCTCAACCGCAGATGTCGCGGAGCAATGCAAGAAGTTCTGGCAATTCGTCCGTAACAAGCATCGGGAGCGCGGCATCGAGACGACGTGGATTATCAACGCCGACCAGACGCCGCTGTGGCTGGAGATGCCCGCCACCACTACCGTCGATCAAACCGGTGTTCGGTCGGTGCCCATCAGGAGCGCAGGGTACCAGAAGGAGCGCGTGACCGTGATGTTGGCGTGCACGGCGGACGGGATGAAGCTGAGGCCGTGGGTTTTTTTCAAGCGGAAGACTGTGCCGAAAGGGGTGTTCCCGCCGGGTGAGTCATGATTCTTGTTTGTTTGCTTTACACCGGTCCTGTTTTTAAAGAGACTTACATAAGCTTGTTTGTTGTGCAGATGTGGTCGTGTCGTGTCACGAGAACGGCTGGATGGACGCCAACGGCGTCATACAATGGCTTGAGGAGTGCGTCAAGCCTTTTCTAAAGCCTGGGTTCGGGAGGCATGCGCGGAGCTCGATGGTCGTACTGGACTCGTACCGCGGTCACCTCACTGAGGCCGTTAAGGAGAAGTTTCGCGAGCTCAACTGCGTGCCGGCGATCATCCCATCTGGCTGCACGGCGGAGGTACAGCCCCTCGACGTCTCCATCAACAAGAGCTTTAAGGCGAGCGTCCGCCAGCTGTATCAGAAGTGGTTTCAGGAAGAAGGCCAAGAACAGCTAACCAGAGCAGGTACGGTAGCCACGCGAGTCCCTATCTTACCGTAGATGATTTTCCCCCCTTTTGTTGCGCTAACTATAGATTGTGTGGTTCTGTTGGTACAGGGAACTTGAAGAAGCCACCCCCAGAGGTGGTCGTGAGGTGGATCTCACGGGCTTGGAAAGCAGTGCCCGCCGACCTCATCAAGCGCGACTTCCTCACCTGTGGCATCAGCAACGCGCTTGACGGCAGTGAGGACGGCCTCGCCATGGCACACAGGCGGAGCCAGCTGACTGCGGAGGTGGACGTCGATGACCCCATCATCGCCGATGGCTTCTTTGGCAACAACTGCCAGGAGCCCGAATCCGACGAGGAGGAGTAGATTTTCTAGGTAGAGATGCTAAACTTTGCAATCTGTAGCTAGATAAAATTGTCAATGATGATGTTAATTAGAGATGTTTAGTATTACCGTAATTAGAGATGTTTTTTTGTAAAAAGTTATCCACAACGTGAAAAGGGTGCGCTTATAATAAGTACACCCACTAGAGGGGGGGCGCTTATAATCGAGTTCCGGCCATAAGCGCCATGCTCCAGATAGAAGCGCCGGCGCCCTTAATCGGACGGCGCCTATATCCGGGGCCATACGGTACCAAGGTTACAAGCTATTCCATGGAGACCATCGCGCTTTGCGCTTGGCATTGTCACCAACTCGTGTCACCTCCTATGCTTCCGACTTCCAGGGTCCTCCGAAGCTCAAGGTTACCAGCTTTCCAGGCTGGCTGTCGATCCCTATGGATATGTTCTCCCCTTCGGGCCTTGACCTGCAGCGTTTCGCTTTCAAGCACATGAGATATTAACTATCAACATTTTCGATAAGTGTGCTCAGTCCAGCTTGCTTCTCAGCCTTCGACGGGCGGTCAAGCTTTTCTCATCATAGCACTATGGGGAAGAGTTGCAACAACAAGTCCGGCAAGAAGTCAGTCGACACTGATTAGGAGAACGAAGTGGCTGACGTACCTGACGTACCTATGAAGAATGCTGCTGACAAAGGGAGTGAACCTTCTTCTTCAAAGACCGATGCTGTGCTTGGACCTTTCAAGGACCTCCTGGATCTACAGAACAATGCTGAGCACGCCGATGGATCAGGCATGGGTGGTGCTGACGGTGTTAACAAGAACACTGATAAGGACCACAAGGCTATCGGTGAAGAGACTGACGCAGATGCTGATGCGCAAGGTGTCGAGGAGGCTTCGTCGGACCTGGCTCCTGACGACGACGACGATGGTTACCTGAGTGACGACTCGGACGAGCACCTGGAACCGGATTCGCTCAACAGTATCATTGCTTTAAAAATATTCTCACTAACCTTGCTGGTGCCGTTTCTCAGGAAGGCTAAAGCCAAGCGAGCTGCTGTAACAGTGGCAGCCTTATTGGACAACTGGAAAGAACAACTGTCTCCAGATGTGCTGCAGACGACGACTTACCAAGAGCTCACGACAACCTATTTCTCTGGCACGCGTTATGGTCGCCTTCAAGTTACCTTCAACCATGTCAGAGACGCGAACTTTGTCTGGAGTCAGATCATCAGTCACGAATGTGTGAACGGCGACATCATCGACCTCACCTGGCAGCACCCTAAAGACGCGCGTTTTCTTCGTGAGCGCATTCTGAACCCGACAGCGAAGGAAGTTGTGGTCAAGGGGGTGCCGGCTGACATCACTGCTGAGTTAATCCGTCACCTGCTGGTGGTGTTGAAGCTGGTTAAGCGTGGCAGGAGCGCGTTCGCCAGTGGCTTCGGCTTCCACTGTACTGTTGACCGAGTCATTGGGCTTGATACTGACCGTATTCGCGGCTTGATTGTCCCCCACGCCGCTGATGAGTACCGTTGGAGGTACTTCGTAGAGGATCCGTCGACAGGGAGGCGTTACCTGCTCCACTTCCCGTCACTTACCTGCGAGCTCT